GGAAACGGTACCGAGTCGGGACGGGGTGTCAGGGAAAACGCTGGTGGTGGTGAGTGCTGATCGAGGATTGATGGGCTTGTCTGTGAAGTTGACACGGGATGTTAGCGATAACGTTGTCTGATAAACGGTTACATTGACGAATTGCATTGACGAAATTTCCGCTTTGACCACAGGCCACGCTTATCTCTCAGCTGGCCAAAGACCGAAATCCAGCGGCCAGCGCGCAGACCACTAGCAATGCGATTTCATCCGATGCGATGGGATTTTGTTGATAGTGACAACACTGCGTATTTGTAGAGTTCCACTGCGGGTGCGCCACTTTATTTGGCTTCGATGGGATGGACGGATTTGAGTTTCAGCATTAGCCTAATGTCAACATACAACCTTGCATGAAACTGCTCGTGATAATTCTATTTTGTTATTTTTAAAGGAACCTGACCAATTACCGTCTTAATAATCAACTTGAAGGTGTGGTAGTGGCTATTTTACATCAAGCTGCTTCGCTAGAGATTAGTTAGTTAGAATTGTTTTGTAACAGCTGTTTCTTAGGAGCTGTTGTGCGGCTCTGTGGACGCTCTGTGGACTAGCTCAGGAAGAGCAAATTATTATTCTTGGAGATCAAGACGAGAGTGAGCCAGATAAAGTTCACAAAGCCAGTCGGCTGAATTAGCTGTAGCAGGCAGCAGTATCCAATTATGAATGCATTATTTTTTCCTCTCTCCCTTCAAAAAAAAAAAAAAAAATCCAGCTAACATGGTGACAGACCAGTTAGTTCGAAGTTCCACCATTAAGCAGTCGGCTGGTTTGGTGCCGTCTTTTTGGACGTATAGTGCGCGGCTGTGTCGCATTGCGAGTCGGCGGCTCTGGTCGTCTCTGACCGTGTGTAATGTGTATTGATGTGGCGGCAGACTGGCCCGGCCCAGTCTGTCGGCCCATGCTGCCGGGTAGGAGCAGCGACCTCCGGAACAAGTAGACCAACACTTTGTGTTACATATGCCCGGTCCATGTCGTCTATAGATATCAGTGGGCTGATATTTGAGTGTCTGATTACGTCATGCAGTTCTCATTTCAAAACGCAGTTAATCTTGCATTATTATCAATAGGAAGCAATAAGTAAATCAAGTATTGAAATCTGCAGTGGCCAGTTAATGCTAACTACATTGTTAATAGTTGTCTAAAACAACCGTCTATTTCCAATGACATTAAGATTAAGCGAGCGATTGGCCAAGTGCATAAGAGCGTGAAACTGCATGCTGCACAGTTTTTTCTTGATATTCAGGGAAACTGAGGGCGTCATAAAATAGCCTGGAGGCCTGTTGGCACCCTCTAACACGGTCCTACCATTCCCTGTTATATATATGTATATATATTTTTTTGAGATACAATGGCAGACTCTAGAGCGTCGTAGTGTTATGTACTATTTCAATGCAATATCAGCTGATATAATTCAGCCGTTCGATGCGTTGTGATATGCTGACTCGGAGCCCGTTTCCATGGTAACACTCAGAGCGTCAGCTGTGCTGAGTAACGTTATCGCCCCAGTCCACTTTTCGCACAGTAGCTGAGAGCCGGCCCGACTGCTGACTTCATCGGGCACCTCCATCAGGCACATGAATTTTTCCGATTCCCCTCTGGTACGGCGGCGACATTGTCCACTGCTGTGAGATGTGGTCGTCTGAATTCACAGTGTCGTACGGACGCGGCCGGCGCTCTCAGCAGCGCGCCGACAGCTCGGGGAGCCGAACACGCCCCCTCCGAGTGCAGATATACATAAGATATATGGATCCATTTTGCGCGACAGCGGGACAATTCGGCGCCGCGTCGTGTCGGCGCGGCCGGCGCTCGTAACTCGCCGCGCCCCTACATAGATCGGCCGGCTGTCGGCGCCGCGGATACTGCTGTCGGCCGCCGCGGCCCGCCCAATGGCGTCCGATGGCCCGCCCTGTCCACGGCCACAATACAGCGCTCCCTCTGTACAGCGCCCGCCCAGAGACGCTGCCCTCTCCCCGTCCCGCCCACTACCGATCTGAGGGCTATTTCATCCGCGCCTCAGTAGCCCAGTCACTACCCGGTTATCTTCCCTTATCTCTCCCACTGCGCTCTCGCTCCCCCCCTCTCTCTCTCTCCCACTGCGCTCTCCCTCTCCCTCTCTCTGTTTCTTTCCCCTCTCCCTCTCTCCTGTCTCTCACTCTCTCTCCCTTATTCTTCTCCTTCTCTCCCTCCTCTCTCTCTCTCTCTCTCTCTCTCTCTCTCTCTCTCTCTCTCTCTCTCTCTCTCACTCCTCTCTCACTCCCACTGTCGCCGCTCTCAGCCCGTCACCGGCGTAAGGGCCGTGTCGGATATCGACGACACGGCCTAAATAGACGAGCGATTGATGACCCCCGCTGCCGTGTGCGCCAGGAAACGGCCAATATCCGGCCCTTATCTCCAGAAAACGGGCTACCATCCACACTACAGACATATTTTGTAATTATCACACAATACATCCATAATGCATTTATGAGATTACGGTTTGCATCCCTTTTAATATTTTGACACGAAAATAAGTTGCTGAATTATTTGCAGTGTCACGGGACAATAACCATTGTTTTTTTTAGGGGAATATCAACCATTTTCTGGCAGTAGCTACATTGCCCCAGACTTCTTCGAATTTAATCAGCTCTACCAGACAAGGAAGCAGCAGATAATTTGAAACCCTTGTGTACGGTATCATGTTGATCGGTGGCTATGGGCGGCTGATGTCACACCACGGCCGGCGTCCCATCATCAGACACGCAGCCGCTCACACGGAACAACCCCGCGGCCCACACGCAGCCCGTGCTCGGTTACCGGCCCGCCGCCCGGCTGACACCCCGTCCAAGGTCACCGATCCCGTGACCGGCGGCCGGCCCAATCACAGCGCTCGCCCTTGCGGTCCGACCTTGCCCCGGGCGACGTTGTCTGACGGACCACCCGACGATCGCCACTGCCGCGGGCGGGGCTGATGCAGCTGACCTGAGCTGGGAAAAGCCGGGATTATGCCGGACTCGGCAAAGACGATTTTGTATTGAAGGGATAACCACGTGCTTGGGTGGATACAAAATAAGACGAGACGTTTTCAAGGCTTAGTGATGTTCCCTCTCTTTTATACTGTTGCTAGCTGAGCTGAAGACGAGTTCTCACTTTTGTTATTTTTAGACAAAAATGAATCGATCTTCATCGTCCCTGAAATTGCTTGACTCTATTTATTTCTTCTCGTATATTTTCTTACATTGAACTTAGTTGGACATTTACCCATTGTTTGTTAGTGGCTTATTGTCTCTTTGGTTGTTTTATTCACGCGGAAATAATCAGCAGCACAGTAGTGTAGCGGGGTTTCGCGGCGTTGCGGGGCTAACCGGGCAGTTTCTTTCGTGAGTGGGATGAGCTCCGTCGGCGCGCTCCATAGAAGCCCATCTCTCTGTCCGGCCCCTCGCGAACCCGTTCCGACTCTGACTCTATCTTTCTCCGGGGCGATCAATCATCGGAAACACATAGGCCAGGGTTAAGGAATGGGAGGAGGGATAAACAATAACCCATTATCCTTGATCATACTGAAATACGAACCCAACTCTACTAAACAAAGGTCCCACTCTCAAACAACAGCACCCGTCCTAGCTGAGGGTTATCTCCCACCGGATATACCTGCCAATCATACGTTCATTTGCCCGTCCCCTCTCATTTCTGTCATACGCCCAGCCATACCTGATAAATTATCAGAGTTAACCATCTCTGATCCCTCCCCCTTTGCCTAACTTCCCCCGGTGGTGCTAAGGCGTGCGCAAGTCGTAATTAAGCCATTGACCTTAGGTTTTATTAACCGTTATTCCTTCATAACCACAATGCTCCGTACATCAAACGAACGCTTCATAATGCTCACGCTACACAATTAGAGATACGACCCACCACAGATTTCGGCACTCGACCCTCGCGTTACGTGACTTATTGCGGTCCATCCCATCACCATGTCGAACTACCTACACAAAAAAACATAAATGTCCTTCGGCCAGCGGTTCCGAGACTACGGCTCGCAGGACACTGTGTAGTCCGGTTTCCGCGGGGGACTTATTTGAAATTTGAGACCGGGGCTGGGTAACTAAGGTCCGTCCGGGCTGCCTGCGTCGTCTCCGTATAGCCGCGGTTTTCGGGCCAGCCCCCGGCGACCGAAAGGGATTAGTCGTTCGTCGGCTTTACACGAATCCATGACTACCAGTTGTGCCAAATTGCCTATAATAAAACGAAAACTAAGCGTACCACGGCCCGCGGTGGGCTTATCTAAACTTTGAAACCGGGCTGGGTAACTAGGTCCGTCCGGGCTGCCTGCATCGTCTCCGTATAGCCACGGTTTTTGGAACAGCACCGGCGACCGAACGGGTTAGCCTCCGTTGGCTTCACACTTATCCACGACTACCAGCGTTATAGGTGCCCGAAGCCCTATCTATCCGTTGCTGATAGTTAAGCTGTCGTCACAGACCTATCCGAAATGACCGCTGCACGGCCGGAGTTAATCGACTGACAGCGGGGTGGCCAGTACCGACTTACCGCGATCACCCGACTCGCATGCTTTGGTATTTAATGTTCACCCCCGTCCTGCAGCATCACACGTTTCTTCGCGGGACATTACTTAACCGGCGGCATACGTCTCCTCGCTGGGACGCCTGGGGTCCTAACCATCTCCGAAACTACCTACGTCACTTATCGAATGTCATCCTGCGCTGACCACTCAATGGACCGATAGCGGACCTAACCTATCCTTTAAAACCGGGCGGGGTCACTAGGTCCCTCCGGGCTGCCTGCATCGTCTCCGTATAGCCACGGCTTTATGGGGCCCGCGCCGGCAACCGAACGGATTAGCCTTCGTCGGCTATGCACTCATCCTCAATAATCGATCCTCAACTCGCTCTCATCCTTTCTCTTCACTTCGCGACTTATTGCACGTATCCAGGGCTTACCCAAGCGAGGCCTACTATTTAAGTGGGGTCTATCCGAGCTGAGCTTCATTTAGGAATTCCGATTCCTCTCCGCGTACAGTCTTCTTCCATTTCACTCGCTTCTCATCTCCCTCCTAACCCGGGACCGCGTCGGTGGATTCTCCACGCACAGGGGCGTAACGTGCATCATCTATCTCCCCGGCTCCGCAATCCCTATTCATCTGATGGTTATGCAATTGGACAGGAGCGACTTTGTATATGCGTGATGTTGGTGTGCGGGGTGTTGGTGAATTTATTGGGAGGTAGTGCCAGGAATCCACTGGCACGGGGTATGTCAAGGACACTTGGGACATGGTAAGGTAGGAAATGGGTTAGCCGCCTCAGCAGCACTTGGAATTCAGCCAGTGGAGCCCACCAGTATGAAATATGTTCGGTTAGGTCTAGTATGCGTGCAGAATCCGTGTATTCGGACCGTTGGATAACTTGATGAGGAAATAGTACCAGGAATCCACTGGCACGGGCGTGTCAAGGAAAGGTGGAATATGGGGAGGTAGGAAATAGGTTAGCCGCCTCAGCAGCACTTGGAAATCAACCAGTGGAGCCCACCAGTGTGAATGTGCTCGGTTAGGTCCAGTGTGCGTGTAGAATCCTTGTATTCGGACCGTTGGATAACTTGATGAGGAAATAGTACCAGGAATCCACTGGCACGGGCATGTCAAGGAAATGTGGGATATGGGGAGGTAGGAATTAGGTTAGCCGCCTCAGCAGCACTTGGAAATCAACCAGTGGAGCCCACCAGTGTGAGATGTGTTCGGTTAGGTCCAGTGTGCGTGCAGAATCCGTGTATTCGGACCGTTGGATAACTTGATGAGGAAATAGTACCAGGAATCCACTGGCACGGGCGTGTCAAGGAAATGTGGAATATGGGGAGGTAGGAAATAGGTTAGCCGCCTCAGCAGCACTTGGAAATCAACCAGTGGAGCCCACCAGTGTGAAATGTGCTCGGTTAGGTTCAGTGTGCGTGTAGAATCCTTGTATTCGGACCGTTGGATAACTTGATGAGGAAATAGTACCAGGAATCCACTGGCACGGGCGTGTCAAGGAAATGTGGAATATGGGGAGGTAGGAAATAGGTTAGCCGCCTCAGCAGCACTTGGAAATCAACCAGTGGAGCCCACCAGTGTGAAATGTGCTCGGTTAGGTCCAGTGTGCGTGTAGAATCCTTGTATTCGGACCGTTGGGTAACTTGATGAGGAAATAGTACCAGGAATCCACTGGCACGGGCGTGTCAAGGAAATGTGGAATATGGGGAGGCAGGAAATAGGTTAGCCGCCTCAGCAGCACTTGGAAATCAACCAGTGGAGCCCACCAGTGTGAATGTGCTCGGTTAGGTCCAGTGTGCGTGTAGAATCATCGGTGGCTGTTCTCATGCGCGGCTCGTTATGCCCGCTGGGTCGGTTTCTCATCCTATCCGAGTTGACTGTTCATGAGGTGCCTGGGGCGTCACCCTGCCCCCGTCCGTTCCCCATTGGTGGGCGCCCTAGGGGGGCCGGCCGCGGCGCCTTCTCGGGACCAATAGCGGGCCCGCCGGGTTACGTCCGCCAATAATTTCGTCCGTCTGAGAATTATTTACGTGGGCGGACGTATTATATGGTCCTCGCGAGTCGGGTCGTGCCATTTCGTCTCGTGATGGCATATTCAGTACCTACTGGTGAAGCTCCGGCCACCCCGCCCGTGCTGGATATCGCCGTCCTTTGTGACGAGCGGGGCCGGCTGCGATGGGTACCGGAGCTCGTCCTAGGGGTCGACCTGAGGTCCCTGGAGGACCCAGAATTCCGGGCCATCTTAGCAAGACGGGTTCGGCGCCTTCAGATCCAGGTGCACCCCGACCGACACTCCGGCGACGGTACTCTATCGAGGTGAGTCATGATAATCACTGCTTGTTTTTTTTTTTCTTTCTTTACTCCTTCCTATTATCTCACTTCACTTACGTACTTGCTGTGTTCGAGTCACTTGGTAATTTATCTAATTTAATGCTTATCTCAATCAACGCACCCCTTTTAATTTAGCGCCATAATTCTGACCCCACATTCGATTCAATTAAAGTGTTCTATTCTAATCCCTCCCGTACCCCGGCCTGTCCGCTTACAGGGTGGTGAACATCTGCGCTACGGTGCTCCGGGACCACGGCCCGGAGTACGTCCGCTGGGTTACGAGGCAGAATGGGCGGACCGCAATGGAAGTGGTGCGGGCAGCATTATTGCTGCCGCCGCCCTTCCAAGACCTCCCCAGCGAGGACCGAGCGCGGCTGGCCGGACTGGTCGAGCACCTGGGGACCCAACTCCGGTCCTCTGAGGCAGCCGCCTCGGAGGAGCGGCGACGGGCGAAGAGGGCCGAGGAGCAGGCTGCAGCGGCCCGCCGTGCCGCTGCCGACGCGGAGGCGGCCCGGTGTGCCCAGGAGTCCCGGGCTCGGGCCGAGACCGAGCGGCTCCTGGAGCGCATCGCCTACCTAGAGGCTCGGGTAGATGGACAGGAGGCGGAGCTATGCCGCCAAATCGTAAACGCGGAAGCTGCCGTCAGCTCGGCCGAGACCCGTGCTGAGGAAGCTCAGGCCCAGGTCCACCGGCTGACCGCTGAGGTGGCGGCGCGCCCGCCGGTGCAGCCGCAGGTGCTGCGTCAGTGTTTGGAGGCGGTTGTCGAAAATCGGTCGCTGCCGCATGCCGTACGCCGCACAGCGCGAAAGCTCCTGAATAAAATACTCAGCTAAACGACTCTATTGTGTTGTAGGTACCGGACGTGTGTGAGCCGCGATGTACCCTCCCGTGCAGCATCCGAGTCTCCAGTATTAAATAGATTATGGTATTTCCGCGATTTATTTACAAGCTCCCATATTCGAACCCAATTAAATCAGCCGGCACTGATGACCCATTCACGGCAGACATTGGATACTCAACGTCGGGGGATTCAGCTCGTCTAAACTCCCACACGATCGAGCCGCTCGGAGCCCGCGAACCGCACCTTGAATCGACCCGGGGACGTATCCGCGGAGCGGTCAGGAATTCACTACTGACCCTACACACAAACACTTTCCCTTTCACTTGGGTCGGACGGCCCGCCGTCCGGCACGCGCTCCCTCGCCTCCCCTCCCCACGTATCTACCCCCCCGTCCCAGAGACGCCCGTCGGGAGGCATGGGTCAGCTTACAAGAGAGAGGGAGGGTAGGTCATTACGGGAGAACGAAAGGGGGCGGGCATTATAGCGGGTGGACTGGGAATGGCCGTCTGTGCTCCGAGAATGACTGACCTCCTTGAAGAGAGTAGGCTGCTGCTGCGTCGTCGGCTGCTACTAGTGGCACTCCCGCCGCCCAGGTAGATCGTCACCGAGAGTCCCTTTTTCTTTCTTGCTCTAGTTTAAATACTCCTGGTGACGTCATTTCAGCGGTCCAGTTTGGTGGGCGGAGTAAATTTGGTGAAGGGACATAGGTACCGCCCTCGAACCAATGCGATGTCTTCTTCGGCTTGAAGCACCGCCCCAGTTCCTCGTGATTTGATGGCGGTGGCTGTGCATCCCCTCAGGGTGTAGTATTGACGGTCCTCTCAGCAGCCCTGGGGCGAGCCACTCTCTTTTCCCAGATTCCTGGTTAATTGTATCGGAAATGTGGGTCGTTTCTCCGCTCCCCTTGTTTGGTGCCCCGCTGAAGTCCAGGTCGGCAGCTGCGCCCTTTCTCTTGTTTGGCTTCTGTCAGTAATGGTCCGCTTGATAAATGTCCCCATCGGGGTGCCGAGCGTGGGACCAAGTCCTGTTTTCCAAAGGGTCAACTGATAAATGACTCGCCACTGGCAGGTGGTGTGCTCCGGCATGCTATTTGTCGACTTCAGATCCTGGTTCTCACGAATTGGGGGTGGTATTCCACAGCGGAGCTTTGTTGTCAAAGCCGGCTGCACCCCTTGTGTACGCCGGTCTGCGACGCAGATAGGTATCGCCGCCGATTGAGCCGACTGACCGTGTCTGTGCGGTGCGCCAGATGGTTCTGAGGCCGACGGTCAGGGGGTCAAATGACTTTGTTTGCGTGCACAGCCCGGCTCTCCATTCATCGGACGACATGGCTGATCGGCATCCGCGTTCCCGGTCCCAGCCTCTGCCTATTTTCGTCCGAGTCGGGTGCAGCTGCTGTTTTTGGGCCGGCCTGAGTGCGCCGGCGCCCGGCTAACCCCGGCGCGCGGTCGGCCGTCCTGCGATCTGGTCAATGATTGCACTTTTGCTTGTGGCACGGCTTGCTTGTTCAAATTGAAAAAAAAATGTGGCGCATCTGCGTTACAGTAGCATTATTTTGTGAAATGCGTAACTTCATTCGGTAGAGCAAACGTGCTCTCCACATACCTATTCAGCTCTCTCTCTTTTTCTCTCTCTCTCTCTCTCTCTCTCTCTCTCTCTCTCTCTCTCTCTCTCTCTCTCTCTCCATAAGCGCTGACAGAGCAGACAGAGGTCGTTCTCAGTCCGTTTCAGCGCCGAGGCCCGTGTCGTGTCGTTTCCAGCCCGGCGCTATGACGGGACGTCGTCAGAGCCACTTTGGTGGCCGCCAGTGCCGCGCCGGCCGACGGTGAATAATATTGTCTCTATTAGCGGCTCGGTGGGCCGCGGGCCGCGCCCGGCCGGCAACTCTCGGCACTAATGGAGACGGGTCATCAGAGGCGCTGCGAAACGGACTAATTGTCGACAGAGCCGCCGCCGCCGACGGAAGCGTCCCTGCTAACCACACGGGCGGGCAGACAGGCCGAGAGACAGACAGGCAGACAGACAGATAAAGAGGCAGACAGCCGGACAGACAGACAGGCAGACAGACAGATACAGAGGCAGACAGCCGGACAGACAGACAGGCAGACAGACAGATACAGAGGCAGACAGACGAACAGACGGACGACGACAGACTAAAAGACAGACGAGCAGACGGACGGATGGACGGTTGGACGGACTTGATCGCAGCGAGAATAGCCAGGGTACGTTTTATAGGCGATAAATTTCATTTAAGTGCTCGGGCTACGTTTATGTATATTTAGCTCGATATTTGTGGATGGTTTAATCGCGGTTTAATGCTTTCCACAAAAATATCGCATGGTCACGTGTTGATAGGTCAGGACCAGTGTATTCCAGAAGTTTTTTTAAAGGTAATTTTTGAGTACAGCCTAAGGTTTGCATTTTTCACATTAACTCTGATTCTGAACTCGGAGCGGCGGTTGTGGTGTCGCCCGCCTGAAATTGGGCCGTCCCGTCGGGATAGGGTGGTTGCCCCTGTACTGATCCCCCTTCCCTCCCGCGGAGAGCACAGGCATGGGTGAAACTTTGACATCACCATTGGGGTCCCAAACGTCCAAGGGGGCCTCCATTTAGTGGGGGCCTCCAAGCAATTAGGGGCCTCCAATTGCGGAAGCGGTAATTTACGAGCCACGCCAGGGCCTCCTCTAAGAAATTTTCATTGGGGGACCAGAGGCTCAGAAGCCAAACATGGGGTACCCCCAAATCCAGTTTTCTCATCGGATTTAGGCCACTTATTTTTCGTCACAGCTCTGATGCCATGATTTTTTTTTTTAATATCGATAAAGAAATGGTAGGTCACCTGACCCTACTGGTGGATCCAGGCCAGCAGGGTGACATTGTATGTAAATATCCCCCGCGGCATCCGAAATCGACGAAAATTTCTGGCTTTTTCACTTTTGACAATAAAACACAATGCCTTTATAATAGAAAAAAAATTAACGGCACAGCATTGCGCAAGGAATCTAGCCGTAAGCCGACCCCAGAAAGTGTGAGGGTTAACCTTCGCCGGCACCTGGGGGGAGGGTCGCCACCCCCAAGTTAGTTTTTCTGCTCTACACTTAACATTTTTAAAGCTAGAAACCTGATTTTCTTTGTATAGCTGCTTTTCTATCTTTTCTCAGCGTCCATTGAAAATTTCAAGCTTCTGCGGCATTTGGGTTTGGAGATATGACCTTGTTCTTCAGGTCATGTCATGTCCTAAATGACGAATACCCAATATCTTGCGATGGCTATGGGCCTTGTGAGCTTTTGACACGCTGATTTCGGCTTTTTTTGCCAGTCTTACCTCCCACCTATCATTGAACATGTTGTTCTGCGATGTACAGATGTCAGAGTCAGGGTCAAGGTCAACCTAGGTCATCTAAAATTATTGCGCTTTAGGCAAGCTGAATTTACTTTTCGTGAAGTTTCTTTGACTGTATGTTTAGTAAAAGCTTCTCAGTTCATGATCAAGTGTAATAGGGACACACAAACCGATCTGTGCACACATCAGTACGTACACAGACATACACATTACACAGACATACAAACACATATCATTGACCTTGACCTAACTTGACGTGAAATGACCACAGCCAGTAAATTAGTCGGATAGTGTGACAAAGAGCTGTTCTAGCTCGCTTGGCACTAATACGGCAGCGTCATCGGTATATGATGGGTTGGCCCGCTGCTTGTGTAGGTATCTTATTCGACATCACCACAATTTTTTCTTACAAGATTTTAAGCCTTGCGGTCAAGAGCAACAGATTCTTTGGGAAGTGACGAATCCAATGATACCAATTTTACCTCATCAGGTCAGTCATTGACCTTCCAGGTCAGGTCAAACTAAAGAATGTTGCTGTTTGGGGTCACCGTTGCCCGTTGGAATATCACGTGCGCTGCTCATCATGTACCGATGACGCTGCCGTATTGTGGTGCCAAGCCAGCTAGAACCTCTTTGTCACACTATCCGACTAGGTTTTTGCTGGCTGTGGTCATTTCAGGTCAAGTTAGCTCAAGGTCAATGACATGTGTTTGTATGTCTGTGTGTGTCTGTGTACGAGTATACTGATGTGTGCACCGACTGTGAATGTGTCCATATTACATGAGATCATGAACTGAGAAGCTTTTGCCAAAAATACAGTCAAAGAAACTTCACGAAAGTAAATTCAGCTTGCCTAAAACGCAATATTTTTAGACGACCTAGGTTGACCTTGACCCTGACCCTGGCATCTCTACATCATTGAACAACATGTTCCATGATAGGTGGGAGGTAAGACTGACAAAAAAGGCCGAAATCAAGGTGTCAAAAGCTCACAAGACCCAACGCCAACGCAAGATATTGGGTATTTGTCATTTGGGTTATGACATTACCTGAAGAATAAGGTCATATCTCCGAAACCAAAAACCACAGAAACTTGAAATTTTCAGTGGACGCTAAAAAAGGATAGAGCAGCAGCTATACGAAATATCCGACTTCTAGCAATCAAAATGTTTAGTGCAGAGCAGAAAAAACTACCTAGGTCGGGGTGGGGGGTGTGGCAACCACTGCCCCCCCCCCCCATGTGCGGACGAGGATTACCTAAGTAATTTGAATATCAGGAAAATAATTTATTAAATCAGGTATTCCAACAGAGTCCCGCTTTTTTATAGGTGACCTCCGATTTGTGTTGCATCTAAGTTACCCAGGGGGCCTCTTATTTGTAATTGTAGGTACAGTACAGAGAGCCTCCTACTTCGACTACTTGCACAGAGAGCCTCCTAGCGTACATACGGCTAAGCTTCTACAGGTCGAGCGCCGGTCTCTTGTACGTACAGAGAGCCTCCTACTGTTACAGAGGGCCTCCTGTTTGTCTAGGGGGCCTCCTATTGGTTAACGGCGCCTCCTATTTGTCCAAGCGGCCTCCTATTCGTCTATGGGACCTCCTATTTGTCCAGGAGGCCTCCTGTTTCTCCAGAAGGTCCCCTATTTATCCAGG